TTTTTATCAATTTTCTTTTCTTCAACAATATTATCCAATGCATCAATAATAATTGGATATGATGTCCATAATGATTTTAAAGCTTCAGCACGTGCTGTCCACCTCGTTTGTGATAAATTTCTCAATTTAAGAGAATTTTCTACTTCATTTAGTTTGTTTAATAGAGGTCCATATCGTTTTGTACTTGATGAAAAAAAAACATATAGTTCTTGAACTATTGAAAATAAGTCAGATACTATTAAACTAGAATCACACGCATGCTCAACAAAAGTATTGATTCTATGGGCCTTACAAGGAATATATGGAATTTTATGTCCAATAGCTTCAGATATTTTTTGTTGAGCACCATTAAATTGACCAGACATATTATTTGCGAAATCATATGACTGAAAAACTAAATTTTGAAGATCTAAATTATTAGTGCGTAATGTATCTAAGATTTCATTAGCCATTCCATTTCCGGTCTTGTCTACAATTTCGCGAACTTCAAGCAACCTTTCTTCTGGTTTTCCTTTGTCATTAACAAAGCGGACTACAACAGATAAAATATCTTTGTGTGATAAGTCTGGTGTTGTATCTGCCATCACTGCAAATTGTCTAGCGTCATTAACTTTTTGTGAAATACTGCTTTTTATTGAACTTCCTAAAATATTTATAAATTCATTTTGAGATTTAGGACTCATATAATTGGTATGATATGGTCTAAATCTAGAAGAATCTAACCACTCTCTCAATAATGGACAATGTCTAGATATAAGATATATTATTTGTTTGAAGTTTCCATTTTCATCATTAGCATGACCTCTAAATGCTAAATTTTGTCTACCGAGAGTTTTGGCAACATCAAGTAAAATAGATATTACTTCAGTGTGAAAAGCATGATCTCGTTCTTCTTGAATAATTTTTTGTCTTTTATTTTTATCAAGCATTATGTCAATATGATTATTTTTGTTCATAAAATGACAAAACTCATAAAGTGCTGCCTTATGTGTTTCAGAACCAAAATGTTTTTTTAACTTTCCAACGTTGTTTGTCCCATTATTACCTTTCATTTTTTTCCAATTTTTCACTCCTATAACAGTCCAGTTATTTACACTTTTTTCCCTTCCAGCGCCACAAGGAAAAAGATAGCAAACATAACAGAACGCTGCATCCTTAACTATGCTATACTCTAAATGTGGAAATTCTTCAAACCATGAATATTTAAAACTATATTTTGCTGTTCGTGGATAAACATTCAACTTTGGTTGATGAGGCCCCAACATTACTAAATACTGACGTTGATTATCAGAAATAATTTTTGTCCTTTTTCCTGGATCATGTTCAACTACACTATCAATCACTTCTACTTCAGATGCATTTCCAGATTGACTCTCAAGTTGTGTTGTTACATCATAACATTTTTCTAGTACAGAGTTTGAAATTTTTATGATATTATCTATAGCTTCTTTTATTTCAACTACTATTTTGTAAGCATTTAATACTTCAGTTTCTTGAAAATTGTGAATAATAGGTTTACATAGTTTTATATAATCAA